TTTGATATCAAAGAAACCGAAAGGAATCACAAAGATTTTTATCGATCAAAGAATTTAATACATTTAACCATTTCTTGTATACATTAAGATTATTTAATGTGGAAAAGTTTGAATCAATAATTTACGATAGCTTTATTAACAAATCAATCAATAACAGTTAAGAGAACCACACGAAGGGACGATATCGTTGTCTTATTTAATTGCTGAAAACATTTCGAGTTTTCACAAAATGTATTCGCCCAAAATTTGGAATTAAAATATTTTCAATCAATTAGTTGAGACGAACTGATAATTTCAATCATTATCTATCTTATCTTCGTCAACGCAAGTGCCCAAGGTTGGTGTCCATAAGCCGTCCACACATTTAGACTTCCCATTGCCCTGAAGTCGCTGACCAATTGCACATTTCAGGGTTACTGTGGAATTAAGCGCTATCGCATGTATCGGCTGAAAATCTCACATCTTCAGATAAAACTTTCTCAGGAGATAAAACAGATGAAAGTGTTTAAAGTTTAAATTAACTATGAATGATTGGCAGTCATTGCCAATTTGGCCCTTCCCCGCATAGGACAGCAAACTCCAATCATAGGACAGCAAAATAGTTCCTCGAGACTTTCTGATCATCCCATGTCTATCGGAAATAGATTGGAAGACTTACTGGATTGTATTCAAGTTCTGGTATTTTTATTGATGTATATGGCTTACAGTAAGGTTTTTTGTATTCTTCCTTCAATTTGCACGAACCTGAAATTAATAGCAAATAAAATGTTCGAGAAGTGATTGATAATTTTCGACTTTACAGTTATTTAAGCTTACATAAACAGTTTTTTTGTGATCATAGAATGATAACTATGCAATAACATAAACAATTTTGGTTGTAAAATATAAATTTAAAAAACAAAAAGCGAAATTATGCCAACAAAGAGTGGAATTTAGTAATTGAAATGAAATGAATTAAAGTAACCAAGCTCGGGTCGCCAAATTCCATCATAGCAGCATGTGCTAACATTGTAACCGACAGGAACAAATTCAGGCTTACATACTAGATAAGCAGTGCTGTCCACACCGCGCATTTTACCATCCTTTAGGTGGTAAACAATGTCACCACCTTCTATTGGTTTGAGTGATTTGCATGTTACTAATTTAAAATCTAAAAAGAGTGCTACAATAGAAGTTTTATTGAGTGCTACCAGCTACCATACCGGCCTTATTGAATGTTACCGAAAAGACTTTATTGAGTACCTCCGTAAGGACTAATGTGATGCTACCGTATACTTCTATTGGGTGCTACCATATAACCTT